AAAGAAAAACGCGGAAACATGGAATAGCGATTGGGAAGAGTTCTCAACAAAAATTGCTCGATCGAATCAAGATAATTTGAGTTCGATTCGATATCAGATCAGTTGCTTACGTTGCTTACGTCGAACTGATTCTCGTCCATTGCGGGATCAGATTAGTATTGGTTGGCAATGTTCATCAGGTTCTCCCGACTTCCTCATTCATTTTGCATATCTTCTCTACAATTTATTTCAGTTCCAAAGAAGAAATATTAGGATCATTGTTGTTCAGATCATTCGATTAGTACACTGTTTGTCGTGGTTCTACATGGCACAAAACGTTCAAAAATTCTGTAGCCACCTATTATGGTCCGTTTTATCGGAGAATATAGCTTGAAGGGAAAAAAAACTCAAGAAAGGGCGCGGGAACCTGTGTGACATCTGGCGAATAAGGCAACAAAAGCAGATAGTGGGCACAAATATCATCGCTTTTATACAGACTATACGAAGTTAGGTGCTAGCTGCTTAGCTACTACCAACTTGTAATTTTGTACGGGAGCAGCTCATGTTCTTTTTTTTCACTGTCCTTCCAATCCTATGAAAACAGCTGTCGCCCTGTTTGGCGTAACTTCTTTAGATCTCAGCCGCCGAATTAAGGTTCTCAAAATCAATGAATCACAATTCACTGTTTAAGAAGAAGAAAAAACGGCTTAACTTCCGTTTAGGCCTTCCCCCTACCGCTCATCAGTAAAGGAAAGGAAGCCCTCAGCAAAAAAAAAACAAATTAAAATGCAGGAACTCACCACTCCATCAGATCGACGTGTAGGGTATTGCGAGTAGAATATGCACCAGAGAATACGAGAATAGCAAAAAAGGAATAAATGAATATTTTAAGCTTGGGTAATCAAACCAACTTGGGTATTGTATGGATTATCAGCAGACGGTTGGGTAGTTACCTTTTGCAAGGTCTCACTACTTTGACACTCTTTTGATATATAACAGTTCTTTAGAGAACACAGCCAGTCAAAATAAAAATATTGACATATCAGTTGGACGCTTTGTTCGCACCAAGTACATTTCTAGGCTGAATTTTTGCAACAATCCAGAAAACCTTCACCAGAAGCCCAGATGATGTTGTAGGTGATACATTTTCCCAAGTTTTCGCAATTTTTACCAGAAAAATGTAGTTCCTTCCACATTTAAAAAGTAACGTCAAGCACCCACGTACAACCGGGTGGCAATATAGGGGGTCGCGCGAGAAGGGTGACTGCGTGCCTCTATAGCTCAGTGGCAGAGCGTCTGTCTTGTAAACAGAAGGTCTGTGGTTCGATCCCGCATGGAGGCATCCATTTTGCACTGCATTGATTGCTTTCAACGTTCACATTCGCCACTCACCAGCGACCATTTTCAGAAAAATACACTAAAATTAGTTCGAGATTGTAGTAGGACCTTCCCTTGTGTTAGAAGCAGCTAGAAATAGTGGATTTATTAAAGTACTCTAGTTAAAACATCGTAATCTTGAACTTGCAGAAAATTTGAAATAATAGCGCATGAAAATTATAGACAAAATTCCAAAAAAAAATCTAAATTTGACACTTTAATCCTTCTTTCTAATAAAACTTGACCTGATCAATAAGAAATAAAACATGCTAAAAAGTAAAAAGATGTCGTGGAATATCGCAGCTCTTAATTTTATAATTCACAGTCTATTTCTTCTCTTCTGCTCTCTGCATTCGCTTCGCAAGTCGCGCTCTTTGCAGTTTATAAAGTACATTATCGTTGTCCGCCTCAAGTTCACGATGTCTCGTGTATCCATCAGCAGCGTGACTCATCGCATATGACGTTGTATCTATCATTTGCCTAGCTAAAACCAGAGCTTTTAACGGATGAATTTTCATTTGAACAGCAGTATTTGGGCTTACCTGCTGTAAGTATCCTCTCATCGTCTATTTTATTAAACTTTATGGAGGGCACAAGGTCGTGAAGTTGATTCACCTCTTGGAATGCTCCAATCATGGTATTCAGACGATGAATGAGCATTCCTTTTGAACATATTAGTTGTTCGCAAATTTGAGACTGAAAAACTCCGAAACTCACCTATAGTTTGTACAACAAGTATACCAAGCAGGAACACAATAATAGCCATTCCCAATGGATCTATTTTAAGCGGATCTTTCGTTTCCTCGAATTGACCGGTCATTTCGTTCATTTTCGTCCATTTGAAATCACCTCAAATAAACAATTTGATTATTTAGTGAACCTCATTTTAAAACCACAAGAAAAACATACGATAAGGTGTCCATCGAATGCTGAGAACATTCTTATGCTTCTGAATGAGATAGATCGCAAGTGCCAATAGAGCATTAACAAGGATGATGGCAAACGCTATGTTGTTCCGTAATGAGGCTAAACCTTCGGCAATTGCACTTTGTTGCTGCGGTGTAGATTCTATTGGCTGGAAAATCAGGGAAATATGGGATAAATTCGCTGAGAAGAAGGTGAGAAGCCAAGTAGAACGGCTGAGCCCACGCCAACCTTCAGATACGCTTCAATTAGCTGTCGCCAAAACTGTTCTTCCGCTGCTTTGAGGCGTCCGCGCTCACATACCTGGAAGAAATTATGTCATAACGCATGTGCCTGCAACCGCGCACTATGACTAAAAACTTAACTACATTGAGTTTAACTTTAAAATCAAACGAGAACAAGCATAAAGGGGGAGCCTCAGCAAAATTTCAACCAATTTTTTCTTGCAGGTCTCAAGACGTTTTTCTTTTTTCAGGAGCCGAGTACTTGGGCAAACACAGAAACATTCTAAGTGCGGAAGAACTACTAAAATTTAGAAGCTACATGCTAGAAAAACTGAAGCTCACCCTAAGGTAGTCACCCTCCATCCACATGTACTTATCCACTACTCTCATAGGTTCCGGTTCCACGACTGGTCGCCTGATCTCTACCACCTTGAAATTTGGTAAATTAGAACAAGAAACCTGGATGATCTCTTGAAGCTCACTTCATTAGTGCCCTCAGCCTCATCCATGTCTTTAGCCACCTTCTTCAGCTTTTCCATCGCTTTCTCATCGTCTTCAGAAACTTTCTAAATAATTCATTCACGTATACTGAGCTATACTGAGCCCTTCAGGAAGGCAACACCTTCCTAAAGTCCCAAGTTACCTGCAGATTAGTAAGCGAGCGTTCCATCCGTTCTAGCTTACGTTCAATAAGTTGCATTGCTTCGTCAGGCCTGGCTCTGAGCGATGGGCAAAGTGCAGACCAAGGGCCTTCACCAATACGTCGGAGCCAGCGTTCAAATGTGGATGACGTTTCCACCTTCGAAATGATTGCATAACCCATACATCAGGACAAATATCACTACCAAACCTACTTTTCCAGTAGCTTTCGCGACAGCCTCACGGGTTCCCCAGTTAATGACATTGAGGTTGATCAGTGAATACAGTGTCAGAAAGACATACGTTGAAGGAATCATGAGGAAGAATACGATACCTGTAGTTAGAAAACCATTTCCAAGTGCTATCACGTTCACGAAGGAACAGAATGATGTCTCTTATATCTCTGGACTTTAAAAAAGCTACTGAGCAGCTTCAGCACCCCAAAATGGGTGGGAGAGTTTTGGACAGGCGCCCAAGACCTACTGGAAGATGGGTGACACGGCCAAGTAGTAGGTGAATATACCGTAAATTATGTTGGTAAATTCTTTCGGGTGCAGACAAGCAGCAATGAAGAACACCAGCACCATCGTCACTATGAACATTGATGTAGGCGAAATTACCGCTAAATATCGAAATGTAAGGCAAATCGTTACAAACAACAGCCTGTTTAATACAGTGAGAACCCACTTTCTAAGACTATCTGAGACGCTGTAGCAATTAATACCGCGAGCATCACAAATGCATAGATAATGGACATCAGCTGGAAAACGTGTGGTTACTAGGTGGAGCAAGGTAGAAAAAAAAACTAGAAAATCTTACCTTCGCGTAAAATAGCTGCACATTAGATTCAGTAGTGAAACAGAGCACAATAAACAAACTGATGGGAACACCGTTGTAAACCATCATCTTTGCTGAGTCAACACCAAAAGCAGCAACCTGGGAGCAGAACGATTGATTATTCAAAAAAAATTAAAATGAAAAGAAAATAAAAAGGGGATGATTCTGAGAATGGAAAAATTACATTTGGAGTCTGTCTACATCTTTTTCGTCTTTTTTTTTCTTTCTCTTCCACCGCCCATGTCAATATCTGAACCACTTTTTCTACATCTTTAACTTATTATATCCTCAGTCCCACAAAACATGTGTAACTATAGTCTGTTTGAAGAATCACGGATCAACGCCACCACAAGACAAATATTCTGGTAATTCAAATAGGGTCCCGGAATCTCCTCGAATTTCTTTCCTAGAGCCAAAATGCCACTTAGTCTGATGTATCGGAGTCAGGTTTACTTTAGGCTCACAAGCAGTTTATTCCACATTCAAATGGTAATTGAAGACCAACATGGTGATCCAAAATGAGCTTTGCTTGGACGCGCCTGTCGCAGGCCTCTATAGCTCAGTGGCAGAGCGTCTGTCTCGTAAACAGAAGGTCTGCGGTTCAATCCCGCATGGAGGCAACTCTTTTTCTTCGATTGCGATCAATTCCAAACGACATTTAATTCTTAGCTTTGAAAGCAAATAATGGTATTGGAACGGATAAGCCTCATGTGAGCTTCCTTTTATTCACGCACAAATATTAAGTGCATGGTTCCTTTCAACAGAATCTTATTAGACATTGAGTGTGTCATTGACAGAGTATTTGTCTTGTAAAGAAAACATCGGTTGCTGAATCTCGATCCCATACAAAATCATCGCTTTTCTTATCCCAGCAAATTAGGCAAAAACTTGTAAATTTGTGTGGAGAACTCATCACTGCTTCAAGCACAATTAAAATTAGAAGTCCTTAACGAAACAACACAAAGGACTGGAGATTATTCGTCTGTATATGCAAGGATAGGTTCGATAACTGTGACAAGCGTCTCTATAGCTCAGTGGCAGGGCGTCTGCCTCGTAAACAGAAGGTTTGAAGTTCAGTCCTGCATGGAGGCAACGCTTTTTTTCGTCAAGCATTGTTTCCAAGGAGAAGAAGAACCACCCCTTAGCCAGAATTGACCAGTTCTCCGCATGGGTGTAGCTCCAATCCCTCTTCCAAACACAGACGATTTTAAATGATTAAAATGAAGAGACAATTTTTGGAGGCAGTGAATTTTATAACATGTGGTGCGGCAGCCACACACGTGCCTCTATAGCTCAGTGGCAGAGCGTCTGTCTTGTAAACAGAAGGTCTGTGGTTCGATCCCGCATGGAGGCATTCGTTTTGAAGTGGGTCTATCATTACTTGCGGTCAAATTATGATAGTTTCGTAATAATCGTCCAAATTGGGACTTATATAGTTCCATAGGTCAACGGAATAACTTTAAAAACAAATTATGATAAATGTTTGAAACCAACCAAGATCGAAAATCCGTTATCTACAAATATGGAAAGTACTTTCCGTGTGTGCGTCTGCAACTCACCTGTGCAAACACAAGCATACAGAACATGATAGCTGGTCCCAACATCGAGAAGAAGATAACTATGAATTGATAGGCTATGTAGGACATCGATATGGAGTCATTGTTCTCAGAAGCACGCTGCAAACAAAAATTCTAAGACATTAAGCCAAGACAAAATCAGAGAGAGTAAACGAAAGGGTGTAGCAGATCTTAACGGTTCAGACGGATTTTTGTTTACCCCTTCATTTCTCTGGTATGAAGGAAACCTTGTAATCGGCTAGCAAATCAATCGTATTCGCAATGGATGACGGCGTCCATCGTCTACGCTGATTGAAGAACTCCTCGAAACCCTCTGGAGCGTAAGTTTCCGCATCGGAAGCAGCGACGTACTCGATACGGTAACCCTAAGCAAGGATACCTCACATAAAATAATAAAAAAGACGTGCAGCATAAGTAGTTACCTGTTTCAACATAAGAGTACTCAACCAGCGATCCTCTCCTTGGTCATACTGCACAAAATGGCGCGGTTCTTGAGCTGTTTTCGTATATCTACGCGGAAAACTTTCATACAATCACCCGAAAAAAACCCTCTAGAAGCTACCAAAACAAGCTTACTTGTGCATGATGTTGTCGTCCATCAAGGCTGACGCTCGAAACAATGAGAAACATCCAGGAGCGCAAAGCACACAACCAAAGACATGCTCAGCAGCTTTTTGGAACCAATGTGCAATTGCATACTCGAATTTTTGGTACCACACCATTACTCCTACACAAAAAGTAGTGTTTCCATGATGGTCACACGGTTAAAGAACAGAGTTGTTCAGGAAGGCGAGCTCATTCACAGCCAAGCTCTAGTGTTACCCGAACCCTTTTCCCCCATCTTTGCACTAAATCTTCCGTAAATATAGAAGCATATGGCCATTGATCAGAAACAACAGTTTCTCGACTCCATAAAAGCAGGTCACGTAACATTCCAACAAAATATTTAGTCTTTCCACAAGGTAATTGCAGTTGTTCCAGAAATTTCAGACTTATTGTTAAGCAATGCCTCAGATTGACAAATTCGGGATCTGACGATGAAATTTACGTACCGGACCCAATAGGGTGAATTCGTCCGCATGCACATCCTATATCACTCTTTGTATTCATAAGGTTCAACAAGCGCATCACTGCCTAAAATAGAGGGTGTTGCGTAAGTGATAAGAAAGCATTTTTGCTCAATTGCAAGTTCGACAAACAAGGGAAAAAGCGTTCACCTCCGGCTCGAACTTTGAGTCTCCATCAATGGCTAAGATAAATGTGTTGTCAGCCATTTGCTGACGATCTTCGATGCTTAGAGGGGAGTCCATAATGCGGTGTCCGAGTAGGT